ATTTTTTAAAATCTTTGTTTGGAGTCCCCAGCTATCGTCAAAGAGACTTATTCCTTTCTTTATTTATCAAATATACATTATACCTTACATTTTACCTTAACCTAATAATACCTAAACCTATAGGTAGGTTCGAGCCTGCGTTTCGCCATACTGATCGTTTTTAACCGAGCTTCGGCGACGCAGCGCGCACAGCCACCGACGACTTACATTTTTTCCTTAACCTATTGGGGTCTGGGTTGACTCGAATCTGCGTTGCACCTACTCTTCGCCTCAGGCAAGTTTTGGTGACGCAGCGTGTACGGCCACCCGCCGCCCCGCTTAGATATTTTAATAAATAACTCAATAATTATTGCGAATATCGCAAAATAATACCGGATTTTTCTATTCAGTTTAACACGCTCTATCTGCCCATAAAAGGTGGTTCGCGAATTATGCGACACCCTGTATAATAGAAATTCGGGAATTATAATTATGTATATAATAGAAATTAATTATGTTTATAATTAAAATTATGTAAATAATTTTGTTTTACTAAATTTCTATTAAGTACATAATTTTTATACTTGAACTTTTAATATGTTTATAATTTAGAAATAAATATTTCTATCGGCTCTCAATATAAACAATATAAATATGATGTTTTCTAATCGGCCTAAGAGCCATAGCACGAAAAATTACGAAAATTAATTATCCGGAACTGTATCTCTTGGTACGAGATTACTAAAGTTCCATATATTAATTAACCTCGAACTTACATATGGAGAAATAGGCGCGAAAAATAATTAATTTTCGTAATTTTTTGTGCTATGGCTCTTAGGCCGATTAGAAAACATCATAATTATATTGTTTATAATTTAATTCGCCGAAATTCTATTAAGTACATAATTTTAATTCGCCGAATTTCTATTATGTACATGATGTTAATTCTTTATTTTCATGAAGTACATAATTTTAATTTGCCGAATTTCCATTATAAACATATAATTCTAACTGGAAGTATTTCTATTATGTACATAATTTTAATTTTCGAATTATATATAATTTTAATTCACCTAATTTTTATTCTTTATTAACTGAGAAACCATTGAATAACAAAATTAATAAATAACAATTCTGTCAAAATGTGATTCAACATCTGTCAAAATGTGTGTTTCGCGCGCGCTAAATAAGCTTTTACTCCGCAAGTGTACATAATTATAATTCGCCGAATATCAATTATTCGAGTTATGTACAGGGTATATAAAAATTATTAATCACCACTTCGTCAGCTAACTCTCCTGTTCAAGTTCGGTAAAGATCACCCCCAACATGGCCCCGCAAAAATTGTCAAAATTTTTTATTGCGCAAAAAAATCTACTCATTGAGGGAATTAAAAGTCTCAAAAAAATCATAGATCGCAAACGTGTCATTATACGTAAAAAAATCATAAAGTTGAGAATAATTAGGATGTGATTTTGTTACGAATATTGATAAGAGAAGCTCAATAATTTGAACGTCACAAGGTAACCCATAATTTTTCTAACATTTCTTTAACTTGTTAACGTTCTGAGTTTATACACCCTGTACATAACTCTCATACCTGAATTGCTATTATAAATATACATAATGTTATATCCCTAAATGATATAACCATTCATATTACATCCGTTTGACGATGGATGCCGATCGCGCGAGAAACGCAAACGCTGCGAGACACGCGCGAACCAAAATTGCCTAAAGTGCAAGCGAAGCAAAAGAACTTTGAATTTCCTTCGTTTGCATCTAGGCTCTTGATCGAGAAAGCCTGTTGCCAGGCACCCCTTCCGATCAAGAAACTTCTTAAAAAGCGACATTATATAAATCGAGCAGAAAACGCGCTCGAGGCACTCGCCATCGAGTCGCTATATAAGAGTGTGGCGATTACATCGTCACATACTTCCCTGAGATTAATAAGGAAAACACGCATACGAATACGAACACTGACATATACGAAAAGGACAAAGGCACAAGTAAATATAAATAAAATATTACAGACGAGACGAAAGACAAGTAGGACAGAAACAAAGAAGTAAAAATAGATAGAAAGTTCGCGAAGCCTCTCGAAGTCTAGCGAAGGGCGTTTTTGAGGCAAGGTATAAATAGGAGATTTTTAGATAACGAGATATACCGTCTTCGATAGTCGCCGCGCACGGACGCATTACTTATTTAATCCGAGCGAATCAAGTTTATGTATTCACGCGTACCACTTGTCTTGAAGAATATATTCAATTAAGTACAATCATTGCATAACTTTAATTAATTCCCGCATCGTTCCTCCTAAGCACTCACGACGCGCGTATATAACCAAAGTGGTGACCCCGACGTGATCGCGAGAGAGCGGGAATTTGCGATTCTTTTGTGCTCGCGTGAGAGAGCGGTACATTTTTTTTTTTACTTTTTATTGTGACGACCGGTGAGACGATCTATTCGATCGGACCCGGGAAAAGTGATAGTGACCAGTTGCGTGTAAAAAAAACGATTTGACATGATTGTGACGCGAGACGATGGAATGATCGGTTCGCGCGTAGAGACGGAGGCGCGGGCGTACGAGCGGCCGCGTGTGCGGATGCAGCAGGCGGCCTCGATCGCGATGCAGGCGGCCCCAAGTGCGATGCAGGAAGCCAGGATGGAGATGCGACTGGCGCAAATGCGGCTTGCGATGCAGCAAGAGATGGCAGAACAACTAACGGCCATACGTAAGTCGATTGAATCCATTGGCGATAACCGATATCGCGACGATGATCGACGTCGTTCGCGACCTCGTTCGCGTTCACGTTCACGCCCGCGAGCGCGATCCAGCAGCCGTGGTCCACCGGCCAGCGGCGTATGCTGGTATCATTGGCAGTTTGGAGCGGAGGCACGGCAGTGCAGACCACCCTGCTCGATGCAGATGCCGGGAAACGCAGGAACGGGACGTTAGAGGCGGCAAGCGACCCGGAACATAGTGCGCGCCGCTTATTCGTGACGGACACAAACACGAAAACGAATTTTTTAGTTGACACGGGCGCGGATCTCTGCGTGTTCCCTCGAAAGATGGTTCGAGGGCCACGACAGAGATCGACCTACGAGTTATCGGCCGCCAACGGCACACCAATATACACATACGGGACGGAAAACATGACTTTGAATCTCGGATTGCGACGGGCTTTTACGTGGCGTTTCGTGATCGCGGACGTGTCGAAACCAATAATCGGTGCCGATTTCCTCGCGCATTATGGCCTCCTCGTGGATCTGCGCAATTCTCGCCTCGTCGATCAGCTGACGAGCTTGACCGCACGCGGGCGTTGTATCCATTGCAACGTACCGCATATTAAAACGATCACAGGGGAGACGCCGTACCACCGGTTGTTGGTGGAATACGCGGACATTACGAGGCCGAGCGGACAAATTCAAGAAACGATCCACGCCACGCGACATTTTATTGAAACGACGCCGGGACCGCCTGTCGCGTGCCGACCACGAAGACTCGCTCCGGATCGACTCGCGGCCGCGAAAAAGGAGTTCCGACGGATGGTTGAGACCGGAATCGCGCGACCTTCGAAGAGCAGTTGGTCGGCGCCCTTACACATGGTGCCGAAAAAGGGCGAAGAATGGCGACCTTGCGGCGATTATAGGGCACTCAACGCGAGGACGATTCCGGACCGGTATCCTGTGCGACATATCCAGGATTTTGCACAGGCCCTCGGAGGAAAAAAACTATTCTCAACGATAGATCTGGTGCGGGCGTACCACCAGATTCCAGTGGCGGAGGAGCATATCCCGAAGACGGCGATCACCACACCGTTTGGCATGTACGAATTTCCGTACATGTCATTCGGATTGAGAAACGCGGCGCAGACGTTTCAGAGATTCATCGACGAAGTCTTACGCGGATTAGACTTTTGTTACGCGTACGTCGATGACATTCTGGTCGCGTCAACGTCGGAGGAGGAGCATCGAAACCATCTTAGAGCAGTATTCGAACGTCTGCGGGAATACGGGGTGACCATCAACCCCGCGAAGTGCGTATTCGGACAGCAGAAGGTAGAGTTCCTGGGATACGAAGTTTCCGACGGGGGAACACGACCGCTGCCGACACGTGTGGAGGCGATCCTCGCGTGTCGAGAGCCAGGAACGGCGAAGGAGCTGCGACGCTACCTAGGCATGCTCAACTTCTACCGACGATTCCTGCCGAGAGCTGCCGAAATGCTGGCGCCGTTGAACGATCTCCTCCACGGCAACGTCAAAGGGAAAGCGGCGATATCGTGGACGCCGCGAGCGCAGGAGGCATTCAAGAATTCGAAAGAGAGCTTGGCACAGGCCGCGCTCTTGCGACACCCCAGGATAGACGCAGAGCTCGCCCTGTTCACTGACGCGTCGGAGCAGAGCATCGGCGCGACTTTGCAACAGCGTGGCAGCGACGGATGGGAGCCGTTAGCCTTCTTCTCGAAGAAGCTAAGCCCATCCGAGATGAAGTACAGCGCGTTCGACAGAGAACTGCTGGCAATCTACCTGGGGGTCAAACACTTTCGATACATGCTGGAGGCGCGCGCGTTTGTGATCTACACGGATCACAAACCGTTGATCTACGCTTTTCGTCAACGACCAGAGAAGAGCACGCCGCGCCAGTTCCGCCACTTGGACCTCATCGGGCAGTTCTCAACCGACATCCGGCACGTGGCAGGCGAGGAGAACGTCGTGGCGGATGCGTTATCACGAGTCGAGGAGCTGAATTCTCCCTGGACTACGCTGCACTGGCGGAGTCGCAGGGGACTGACAAAGAACTCGACGATTATACAAGGCGAGAGACCGGAATAAAACTTGAGAAAGTGCAGATTCCCGGAACGGGGATACAAGTCTACTGCGATACGACGACATCGACACCGCGACCGTTTTTGACAAGACCCTTTCGGCGGGCCGCATTCAACTTGGTGCACGACCTGGCACACCCAGGAATCAAGGCGACGGGCAGACTCGTGGCGCAGCGCTACGTCTGGCCGTCGATGAACGCTGACTGCCGCAGCTGGGCGCGTGCATGCGTGCCCTGTCAACGTTCGAAGGTCACTCGACATGTCTCGGCGCCATTAGGAAGATTTGCAGTACCATCGAGCAGATTCGAGCACGTACACCTGGACATTATCGTGATGCCCGTCTCAGAGGGCATGCGATACTGTCTCACGTGCGTGGACCGCTTCACACGGTGGCCGGAGGCGTTCGCACTACGAGACCAGGAGGCGGAGACGGTCGCAAGAGCATTTTACGAGGGATGGATTTGCAGATTCGGGGCGCCCGTGCGAGTAACAACGGACCAGGGGCGCCAGTTCGAGTCCCATCTCTTTCGACGGCTGAGCGAGATGACAGGAGTACAGCACCTGAGGACGACGGCGTACCACCCGCAGGCCAATGGCATGGTCGAGAGGTTGCATCGCCAGCTCAAGGCGGCAATCAAATGCCGGCAGAATGATCGCTGGACGGAGGCGCTGCCGACGGTGCTGCTCGGGATCCGAGCAGCGTGGAGAGACGACCTGCAGGCGACCGCAGCGGAGCTGGTGTACGGCCAGACGCTGAGGATCCCGGGGCAATTCCTGAGTCGACGACCTGTGGACAGCGAGGACGACGCGGCCGACTTCGCAAGGACGCTGAGGGAGCAGTTCGAGGAGCTGCGACCGGTGGACGGCACCCGACACGGGGAGCGACGGCCGTTCCTTTACAAGGACCTAGCGACGGCCGAACAGGTGTTCGTGCGACACGAAGGACCGAAAAAGATGTTGCAGGCGCCGTACGAGGGGCCGTACGCAGTCATCAGCCGAGGCGACAAAGTCTTTGTCGTGCGTATGCACGGCAAAGAGAAAACGGTCTCAATAGACCGTCTTAAACCGGCTTATATTTTACAGAGCGAGCCAGAAAACAACAGCCCGGCAGAGTCGACGGCACGAGACCGGGACACCGAGGTCGAGCAGCGAAACGCGCGAGAGGACGCGAGGCCGCTGCCCCGAGAGAGCCAGAGAACAACGAGAGCGGGAAGAAAGGTCCGATTCCCGAGTCGTTTCCAGGCGGGCCTGTAGCACCAGGGAGCCAGGATGTGCAGCAAACCCGTGAGAAATCACCGCGAAACGGAAATAAATAAAAAAAAAAAAAAAAAAAAATTTTAAGTATACGGTTCGCGACTCTTTAATTTTTTTGACTAGCATTCGCGATTTCAAATTTCTTTGATTTGTGTTATCGTTGAAAATTTATGTATACACGGCAACAGCGACTTAAGCCGCGAAAAGCGAAAAGGAAAATTTGACGCGTATCGAGAACTTGTATATTCTGTATTTTATATTTATTCTTGTAATTTTAATGGACGAGTCTCAGACCGAGAGCGACGAGCGACAGAACAACGTTAAGTACAGCGAAAATTCTTCACGTATAGGTTGTCGGTATTTATTAGCATTTATTTATTATATTATTGTTATTTATTATTATTTATTTATTATTTATTTTTTTTGTCACGTCATATTTATTCGCGACTTGGCGCTCGAATTTATAACGGCGAGCAAATGGTAACATTCGTCTCGGTCTGCCATCGAAAAAAAAAAAACTTTTGCGAAACAGTGCATCACGCAAACGTATCGTGCTATCGGTATAGCACTGGCGGGGGAGTACTGTGGCGATTACATCGTCACATACTTCCCTGAGATTAATAAGGAAAACACGCATACGAATACGAACACTGACATATACGAAAAGGACAAAGGCACAAGTAAATATAAATAAAATATTACAGACGAGACGAAAGACAAGTAGGACAGAAACAAAGAAGTAAAAATAGATAGAAAGTTCGCGAAGCCTCTCGAAGCCTAGCGAAGGGCGTTTTTGAGGCAAGGTATAAATAGGAGATTTTTAGATAACGAGATATACCGTCTTCGATAGTCGCCGCGCACGGACGCATTACTTATTTAATCCGAGCGAATCAAGTTTATGTATTCACGCGTACCACTTGTCTTGAAGAATATATTCAATTAAGTACAATCATTGCATAACTTTAATTAATTCCCGCATCGTTCCTCCTAAGCACTCACGACGCGCGTATATAACCAAAAGAGTAACCGCGCTAATCGCGTGCGATCTGTACCATCTTATCGCAGACGCGTATCAAAAAAGTAATTAGAGTCACACGCGTACGTCGCAAAGTAGCATATAATCGCTACCTCAAGACCAATTCGACAGATTTAAGTAGTTAGTAAAGTATAAAGAAATAAACAACAAGTGTTCTGTTGAAATAAAAGTTGTTTAATAAAAGGTGAAAATATAAGTGAATTCACAAATTAACCCCGAGTGTGTGTGTTAATCGGTTGACATCGTTTGCTGAACGATCAGTGGGCAAGGAATAAGTAGGTGTAGTAACGAAGGCTTCTTGGGTTTTCGGATACTCCTTTTATTTTTTGTCATTGGACGGTGACTATGGTGTCGTTTCTCAGCGCCGGATTGTTGTTCGCTCGTCCTTCTCTCAACGGGGTCGGATTAAACGCCGTAGCGCAAAGATATGCAACTTGTGCGGGAATCGGTTGACGCGCCTTACGATGAATTCAGAGCGAAGAATTTCAATATAATTTGACAGGTTTATTATTACTTAGACGGCAGAAAGCTGACTCATCTCGGAAACGGGCGTCGGATCGCGCGAACCTGCTGGTCTCTGAGAAAAGTAGGGGAATTAACGAAAATAAGAGCGCGGGCAATGACAGGCTTTGTTATGTTTTACACCGATGAGCTGTGTGCTCGCGCGCTCAAACAATACAAAAGTCGAAGCGAGCGATAGTCGCAGAAAGGATTCCGAAACACCGAGCCTGCTCCTGTCGCTCCGGATTCCCATCCAAATTTGGTACGACCCCTTGTGCCTTACCCGAGGCACACAACAATAATTTTAATTTGCTGAATTTCTATTATGAACATAATTTTAATTTGCCGTACATCTTTTATGTAAATAATTTTAATTTTTGATTTTCCATTATGTTTATAATCTTAATTCTTGAATTTCTATTATGCACATAATTTTTATTCGTGAATTTCTATTATGTTCATAATTTTGATTTGTCGAATTTCTATTATATACATAATTTTAATTTCTGAATTTTTATTATGTACGTAATATTAAAATTATAAACAAAGTTAAGAATCTATATGCTCGCGAAATAAATAACAAAGTAAACATATATATATATATATATATATATATATATATATATTTATTTCGCGAGCAATAGCTTCTTAACTTTGTTTAATTCGTATAATTTTAATTCGTCGAATTTCTATTATATACATAATTTTATTGACAGAATTTCTATTAGGTAAAATTATTTACATAATATAAATACGGCGAATTAAAATTATGTGCATAATAGAAATTCATTTCGCGAGCATATAGATTCTTAACTTTGTGTAATTCGTATAATTTTAATTCGTCGAATTTCTATTATATACATAATTTTATTGACAGAATTTCTATTAGGTAAAATTATTTACATAATATAAATACGGCGAATTAAAATTATGTGCATAATAGAAATTCAAGAATTAAAATTATGTACATAATGAAAAAATAAAACATTGAAATTATGTGCATAATACAAATTCGGCAAAATAAAATTAGGTTTGTAATAGAAATTCAACAAATAAAAATGATGTATATGTATAATAGAAATTCGGGAATTAGAGTAATGTTAAGATTAGATTAGAATTTATTCCGGACTCCCCTAGAGGTTGCGTTTTCATAGGACCGCCAAATCTATTACAATCTCCCTCTTCTCTCTGATCCATACATATTTACACTATTTACATTTAATAATTCCCAAATTATTAATCCTTGTCACTAGTTATTAAAATAGGATAGTAGAAATAATCGACCAGAACTAGCGAATATTTCGTTTATTAAAATCACTACGTTTTGACCATGTGGTTGTGATCCTTTTCAAGTGAACACTAAAAATAAAATATATAATTAATAACATACGCAATTCAATAAATGCCAAAATTGAAACAATAAACTAAAGTTACTTACAAAATATGTCATTAAGCTAAATCTTCATATTAGTAATACTGTCGATAATTATTAAACTATAAATTATATAAAAGTCTAACAATTGAAAGTACAAGAAATAATCAACATGTCACACCGGAGGATCGTCAAGTTATAATATATTTTCAATAAACAAATTTACACGACCTTTATAGATTTGTTGTACATGTCGTTTAAGCATTCTGTATCCCTTTGTGAATTTGTTATGATTTTGTTTTTTAATGAAAAACATTTCTGCTATCTCCCACTTTCTTAAATGTTTTTCCGTATGTAAAATGTCAAATTTTTTTAAATCAAAATCATGATTAAATTCACATCGGTGCTTACTTACAACTGAATGCGAACTATGATGTAAATTAATATTTTTACAGTGTTCCTTAATTCATGTGGCGACATGTCTCTTTGTTTGTTCCATACGATGCAGTACAATTATAGCAATTCAATCTATATACTACGTTAGTCGCATAATCGATCGACAAGCTGTCCTTCCCACACTTAATTAAGGAGTTAAGCTTCTATGGTATCTTATAAACGACATTTATCCCATTTTTCTTTAAAGAGTGTGAGATGTTATCACTATAATTATTCACGTAATATGAGATCGACATGTATGGTGCTTTCACCTTATCATCAATTATAACAGTATCAAGGTTGTTCAAACAACTTATTTTGTCTTTTAAGAATTTAAATCTTTTGTAAAAATAACGATTGACAACTTTTTTAGGGAAACAATTATTTCGTAAAATATTATTTACTATCGTTAAATTTGCTTTATGAAACCGTTCATCAGATAGTAATAAAGCGTGGTTCACTAAATTGTAAATTGTATTAAGTTTATATTTAAAAGGATGGCTTGAAAGAAAATTTATATATCTACCTGACCACGTCGGTTTTCTAAACCAATTTGTTATTAATTTGTTATTTTTACAACGCAATACAGTTATATTTAAAAAATTTAATGACGAGTTACATTCGATCTCATACGTAAACTTTAGTCGCTCATGATACCATTGAAGGTAGATAAAACTATGTCTAACTTTTTGGTGAGTATTATTGCAAACATATCGTCCACATATCTGTAATATATTAGTATCGCAAAATCTAACACGTTGGAACAATGTGATTCCAAATTATCCATAATCATGTCAGCTAAAATTGGGGACAAAGGAGAACCCATTTTTCTAAATTTAAATTTGAACAATTTTTACATGTAGTAAGTTTAATTTTGGACTCAACTAGTTTTAGATTTGAGGGACAATTTTATGAACAAATTTACGATAGCCCAACGTAACTCGTCATTAAATTTTTTAAATACAACTGTATTGCGTTGTAAAAATAATAAATTGGTTTAGAAAACCGACGTGGTCAGGTAGATATATAAATTTTCTTTCAAGCCATCCTTTCAAATATAAACTTAATACAATTTACAATTTAGTGAACCACGCTTTATTACTATCTGATGAACGGTTTCATAAAGAAAATTTAACGATAGTAAAGAATATTTTACGAAATAATTGTTTCCCTAAAAAAGTTGTCAATCGTTATTTTTACAAAAGATTTAAATTCTTAAAAGACAAAATAAGTTATTCGAACAACCTTGATACTGTTATAATTGATGATAAGGTGAAAGCACCATACATGTCGATCCCATATGTGAATAATTATAGTGATAACATCTCACATTCTTTAAAGAAAAATGGGATAAATGTCGTTATAAGATACCAAAGAAGCTTAACTCCTTAATTAAGTGTGGGAAGGACAGCTTGTTGATCGATTATGCGACTAACGTAGTTGTCGGTCGAAAGCGTATTTTGAAAGTCCGAATTTTCGAGAGCCTGTGCGATTGCGATTTTAAGTTCGCGATCGGCACCTTGGAATGTAGTTCCATTATCCGAATAAATCGACACAGGATATCCGCGACAAAAAACGAAACGATGTAATGTGACGAGAAAAGCAGCTGACGAGTAGTCGCTAACGAGCTCGAAGTGGATCACTTTTGTCGTCATACAAACGAACACGGAAATATAGGCTTTGTGCGCTTTATGACCTCGTCCACTAGAAGTTCGTATTAGAATTGGGCCGGCATAATCGACACCGGTATGTTCGAATGCTCGAGTTGAGCGATTTACTCTGACATTCGGAAGATCACCCATGAGTTCGGTAGGAATCTGAGCCTTTTCTCGTGTACATGGTACACATTTGTAGAGTACAGAGCGAACCAGAGATCGTGCTCGTAAAATCCAAAATTTCTCTCGAATACGAGCTAAGGTTAGTTGAGATCCAACGTGCAAGGTTCGTCGGTGGGTCCATGATGATCATCCTGATTAAGGGATGGTCCTTTAGGACAATTGGATTGCGAACGGCACTTTGTAAGTTGGCGTTCCTTAGCCTGCCACCGACTCGAATTATTTGATCATTATCGAGATAGGGATTTAACGAAAGCAGTGTGCTAGATTTCTTTATTGGAGTCGCCGTGCTGAGTGACGACATCTCGCTATGAAACAACTCGGATTGAATGTAACGAACCCAGAAGGTTTCAGCGGACTTGATTTCAATCGGATTTAGGTGTATCGGAGCTCTAGGTTTTTGTATCGTCAAGTTGAGGTCGATATTTCGAGAGCGGGAATTCGTTATAAATCAATAGATGTAGGCAGTTATTCGAAGGAGTTTGTACCATGACGAATAACGCTGTGATAGGTCCCACGATGCGACAACGGATGTAGTGAGCGATTGTGGTTGCTCGCGTTGCTCGCTTAGTGCGTGGGGATCGAAATCCGAGTCAGATTTAGGCCAATAATCGGAAGATTTAATAAGCCAATCGGGACCTGACCACCATTGAAGGTTTGTGGCAAGGTCGTCGGTAGAGATCCCGCGCGACGCGCAGTCGGCAGGATTTTCTTTTGTTGGGACATGACGCCATGGAGTGTCCGGGAGTAGCGTGTAAATATCGGCTACTCTATTCGCTATAAATGTCTTCCACGTAGTAGAAGGTCGGCTCAACCAGGCAAGTGTAATCGTGGAATCGGTCGTAAACGTTTACCTCACGAAAGTCGAGAGCTTCGCGAATGAAATGAATGAGTTGTGCGAGTAACTGAGCTGCAGATAACTCGAGTCGCGGAACGCTCATTGCTTTGACGGGAGCGACTTTTGATTTGCGATAAGCAGATTGACCGAGACCATTCCATCCACCGTGACAACGCGAATGTACACCGCGGCAACGTATGCTTTTGTAGATGCATCCGAGAATCCATGCAAGTCTAGATGCAGTACGTCTAGATGACCGAGTTAAATCCAGTGTGGAATCGTCACCTCTTCTAATTTTTTAAGATGAGCGTGATACTGCTGCCAATCCTCAATTAGATTCAGCGGAGCGACTTCGTCCCAATCACATTTGATTATTCAAAGTCGATGCATCAAAATTTTGGCGCGAATAATCACGGGAGTTGCCCATCCAAGTAGATCAAAGAATTTGGCGATGTCTGATAAAATTCTTCTTTTGGTGTTGCCAAAAGGCCCTGTAATCGTAACGGCAAATTTGAAGATGTCGCGATCTGGTTTCTAAGTGAGACCGAGAATTTTTAAGCTTTCATCTTCGTTCAAGTCTCGGCTCTGAGCGAGACCGTGGTCGATATCTTCGATATTGTCAAGGAGTTTGGATAAATTGCTTGCCCATTTTTGTAGCGTGAATCCATCTCTTTTGAGAAGAGAAACAACCTGCTCGCGAGTTTGACGAGCGAGAACCTTGTCATCGGCACTAAAGATAAAGTCGTCGACGACTTTTATCGATACATTTGACGATCGACAACGGAAGTGGCTAACGGAAATGAAGCGCCTTCATCGATGGCAAGTTGGTTCATGACCTTCAATGCTAAGTACGGAGCTGACGTCATGCCGTACGTTACGGTACAGAGACGATACTCCTCAACTTGATGTGTTAGAGATGGCCGCCAAAAGATGCGCTGGAAATCACGATCGCGAGGATCGACTTGAATTTGGCGATACATTTTTGCCACGTCGGCGGAATAAACGTATCGAAATGTGCGCCAACGCAAAATGACTGCGGCAAGGTCCCTTTGAAGTTTGGGGCCGGATATAAATAATCATTCAGTGACGTACCGTTTGAGGTTCGACTTGAAGCGTTAAAAACGATACGTATTCACGTGGTTAAGCTGTTAGCGCGGAATACGGCATGGTGCGGAATATATACTGTTAGGATAATTGATAGTTATTGATATTCAAATAGGCGCGCTACTGTAATCCGAAATAGGCGCGCTATTGTAATTAAGGAAGACAGCAGATGGCGAGGCCGCAGAGCACCGCGCGACGTTCGCGATGAGACCGAATCGACTCGCGCACACTCTCGCCACTTCACTTGTATTCCGCCCGGCATAACAGTAAGACATAAATATATATATCTCACCTTGTGAGCCTTTAGATATAACATACCGAGTTGTGAATCTTTCCACCGATATCCGATAAACCTAACAAATTGGCGACGAGGATGGGATCGGGTACACCCGATATCCCATAAGTAAATCAATCTACGATCAGAAGTGCGTGGTCGCGAAGAACGGCAGTAAGGAAGAACTGTGAAGCGACGAGAGCCGCGTGCCACGTGCCGGCCGAGGAATTTTTTTTTTCTCTCGCTCGGCAACGATCAGCTCAAGAAGCGTGTACAGGAAAAAAAAAGCCAGAGGTACATATAAGAAAAGTAAATGCCATTAAACGATGGATCAGGGGCGTCAGGAGGTGCTGGCGCATTACGAGCACCGGTGACGGCGGTGCCGAGCTCTCTTACAATCGAGGCATTCGACTCCGGAAATACAACATGGAGAAGATGGCTGCAAAGATTGCAAGGTGCCTTCATGATTTTTAATATTCGAGATGGAGAACGTGTACCCTACTTGCTACATTATGTGGGGTCAGCAGCATTCGACATCTTGTGCGACCGATTGGATCCGGGGGACCCGTTCAGCCAAACGTACGAGTCACTCACAGGAATTTTGGAGGAATTCTACGAACCTCCACCTTTGGAAATAGCAGAGAATTTCCGGTTTCACCAACGGCGTCAAGAGAGCGGGGAAACCGTGCAGCAGTTTGCAGCTGCACTGCATAAGTTAAGTATCCACTGCAAATTTGGCGAATACTTAAAAACGGCGCTCAGAAACCAGCTGGTGTTTGGCCTATCCAGCAAGAAAATACAGACACGGCTATTGGAAGAAAAGGATCTAACGTACGAAGAAGCATTAAAGGTCGCCACAACAATGGAACTCTCGGAGAGAGGTTCAGCATCTCTACAAGTATCGGTGGTACAACCTACAGCCCAGGTGGATGTCGTCCGAGCAGGAGCGAATCAACCACGGAAGACGGGAGGAAAAAGGCAGCATAATTTTCAAAAAGGAAAGTATACAAATTTCAAGCACGCGGGTAACGATATTAATTTCCGTGATAATTCGGGACAGAAAGGTCGTGCGAACGTAAATAGGACAAATAACTCGAACTATTTGAAAGGTTACACTTGTAAACAAATAACATGTTTCAGATGCGGTCGAGGTCATCTGGCCTCGCAATGTACACTTAGTAAGGAAGTTCGTTGTTCTGGCTGTGGCGGAAACGGACATTTGAAGAAAGTATGTTTCAAAACAAAGGAACAAGCAAATCAATTAGAGGACATACTACAGCTCGAGCATTCCCAATTTAGAAACAAATTTTACTGCACGTTACGAGTCAATGGGAAGCGTATTAAATTCGAGGTGGATAGTGGATCAGCGGTAACCGTAATGAACAGGTACGATGCACGACGGTTCTTTCCACGTTCGATCATCTGTCCTACAAAATTAAATCTAGTCGCGTTTTGCAAAACGGTAATAGGAATCAAAGGTTATATTACAGTATCAGTTAGAAGCGATCAAATCGAGCGTAAATTAAATATATACATTACAGAAATAGATAGGAAACCGCTATTAGGTAGAGAATGGATACACCAACTCGCTGTTCCAGGCGGAGTGCCTGATTTTCTAGACTGCAATGCCGTAGATAATATAGAAGAAAAGGAATTAAAATTAGAAGCAATGTTAGAAAGATACAGAGATTTAAAATCAGACGAGTGGGCGAAGATAACGGGAGTGCAAGCAAAGTTAAGGTTAAGCCCTAAAGCAACTCCAATATTTCTCAAGGCAAGACCGGTGCCATTTAAGTTAATTACATTACTAGATAAAGAGTTAGAAGAGTTGTCGCGGGTAGGAGTGCTTACAAAAATTGAAAACTCGGAGTGGGCAACGCCGATAGTTCCGATTCTAAAATCAAACGGTAGAATACGAATATGCGGGGATTACAAAGCTACGGTAAACCAAAAATTAATTGTGGATGAGCACCCATTTCCGACAATTAACGAAATATTTGCAAAATTAGCAGGCGGGATAAAATTCTCCAAAATAGACTTGCGTCAAGCATATTTACAAATGGAGGTGGATTCGAAAAGTAGTGAGATACTAACATTGAATACACATCGCGGATTATTTAAAGTAAATCGATTAATGTACGGGATCGCGTCCGCACCGGCAATATGTCAGAGAACCATAGAGAATATATTACAGGGAATTCCAGGAACGGCGGTGTTTCTGGACGACATTGTAGTCACGGGCGAGTCAGAAGCTTTACACTTACAAAGATTAGACTTAGTCTTACAACGGTTACAGAATCGCAATATAAGAATAAATTTAGAGAAGTCAAAATTTATGATGGATGAAATACAATATTGCGGATTTACATTACGAAAGGAAGGAATACTTAAAGATAGGGCCAAAGTTGAAGCGATTAAAAGTATGCCGCGGCCTAAAAACGTGCAAGAAGTGAGAGCATTCGTTGGAATGATAAACTATTACGGGAGATTTATACGTAATTTGAGTGCGATACTGTATCCGTTGAATCAGTTATTACATATAAAAGTTCCGTTCATATGGTCTAAAGCGCAGGAACAAGCGTTTATAAAAGCGAAAGATGCTTTTCTAAGTGACCAAATATTGGCACACTACGATTCAAAATTACCGTTAATTTTAGCGACGGACGCAAGCCCTTACGGAGTGGGGGCCGTCTTATCTCAATTACATCCGGACGGAACGGAAAAAGTGCTAAAATACGCGTCGCAAACGTTGTCGGACACGCAACAAAAATATTCGCAAATAGACAAAGAAGCGTTCGGCATAATTTACGGAATTAAGAAATTTTATCAATATTTGTATGGCAATAAGTTCACGTTAATTACCGACCACAAACCGTTAATACAAATTTTTGCACCGAATAAAAGTCTGCCCGTGTATAGTGCAATGAGGATGCAGCATTATGCAATATTTTTACAGGGATTTAATTACACGATTAAATATAGGAATTCTAAAGAGCACGGAAATGCAGATGGTCTCTCAAGATTACCGGTTTCGGAAAGTAATAGTAATACAGACGTAGTAGAAGCATTTCAAATTGAAGAATTACAAGAGTTGTTGTTAGATGCAAATCTTATCGAAAAAGAAACGCGTAAAGATACAAAACTGAAAAAGTTATTATGTGCATTGCAGACAGGAAAAGAGGCACTCAGCGAAGATAGATTCAATTTAAGTCAGGAGGAATTTAATTTACAAGACGGAGTAATTATGAGAGGGTTTAGAGTGGTAATTCCACCAACATTGCGTACATTAGCGTTAAAACAATTACATACGGGTCATTTTGGCATAAATAAAATGAAAGCGATTGCGCGAGGGTATTGCTGGTGGCCGGGCCTGGATAAAGACATTCAAAGCTTAGTAGAAAATTGCGTAGCATGCAATAAAGTACGAAATAACCCACCAAAAGTGGAGCAACACATTTGGGAACCGGCGGCAGCAGCAATGCACCGAGTGCATGCGGACTTTGCGGGGCCCTTCTTAGAGAAATGGCTATTTGTAATGGTAGATGCGTACTCAAAATGGCCGGAAGTGAAGATCGTGAAAAATATTACGGCTAAGACGATCATTAAAGAATGTACAAATATCTTTGCGTCATACGGCATTCCAAAAATATGGGTTACAGACAATGGAAGAACATTCATTTCCAAGGAATTTAAGAATTTTCTCAGAAGTAGAGGAGTTATACATAAATGTACAACGCCATATAATCCGGCCACTAATGGCCAAGCCGAACGATTTATACAAACACTCAAAAATGGATTAAAACGTGCGAATGCAAACGAAAGTAATATAGCTGTTAAATTGGAGCAATTTTTGTTACAATATCGCGCAGCTCCACACACGAGCACAAAAATGTCACCTGCGGAGTTATTTTTAGGCAGAAAAGTGCGTACTAAATTAGACTTGATTTTTCCGAGAAAAGAAGAGGATAGAGATAGGGTTAATCAGGAAATTAAAGCGAGGGAATTGGCACTAAACAAGCGAGTAGCGTGTAGAAACTACATAGGAAGAGAGTTGTGGAAATTCGGTAGAATAATAGAAAAGTTAGGCAAACTACATTATAAGATTAAACTCGACGATGATCGAATATGGAAAAGACATATTAATCAGTTACGGCCAATCGATGACCGATCTTTAAAGTCGGATGAGGACACTGATTACGGGCCGATAGAGGAAACATTACAGGACAATAAAGTTCAAAATGAGGAAGCGGATGCTGAAGTACGAGGCGAAACGGTATCACAGATTCCACTAAGTCCAAACGCCACGCCACAACCAGAACACGAAAGAGACAAAGTAGATTTAAGTGAGAGCGTACGGCGTTCGACTAGGAAGCGCCAACCGCCATCGCGTTACGGAAACGTAGGATCTAAAGGATCCAAGATACTGTAAGCGCGAGAGAAAAAAAAACATATATACAAACGTAAGTGCGGCGTAAATAGTAAGCCTTTTCCAAGAAAGGAAGGTGTTAGGATAATTGATAGTTATTGATATTCGAATAGGCGCGCTACTGTAATCCGAAATAGGCGCGCTATTGTAATTAAGGAAGACAGCAGATGGCGAGGCCGCAGAGCACTGCGCGACGTTCGCGATGAGACCGAATCGACTCGCGCACACTCTCGCCACTTCACTTGTATTCCGCCCGGCATAACAGTAAGACATAAATATATATATCTCACCTTGTGAGCCTTTAGATATAACATACCGAGTTGTGAATCTTTCCACCGATATCCGATAAACCTAACATATACGATTTGATTTGAGTCAATCAATTGTTCGGTTTCTGAGACGCGTTGCATATGTCCTAGATCATAATATTTTTTTAAGAAACTATAATATTCCGATGATTTCGATGAATCCGTTTTAATGCGGCTTTCCGTGCGAAGGTAACTGTGAAGCGCTGAATGTCGAGATTCTTCAATGTTGAGTGGAGGTCCGTTTTTAAATGGAAGTCTGACTATATAACGACCTTCGGAATTTCGAGAATGTGTCGAATTGAAATGGTCGTCGCATGCCTTTTCTTCGCTAGTTAGTTTGATGAAGCGGGAACTTCTTCGATTTCCCAAAATCGGCGGAGAGTTTGATTGAGATCATCCGTAACAGAGCAGTGATGTACTCCGATGGACGATTGCGAGAGCGGTCGTAGTTGCGCGGTAGGCCCGGATATGATCCAGCCTAGTGCTGTATTTTGAGCGATCGGTTCGTCAACCGCGCCTTTGCGAACGCCGTCGAGGATGAGTGACCCGAAAAGATCCGCTCCGATAATGATTTCTATGGGATCTGATCCTGCGGGATCGGGATCAGCCAACGAAAGGCCATTCAAATGCGGCCATTGCTCTTGAATGTCGAGACGGTTTGGCAAATATCTAGTTAACGATTTTAAAATTAACGAGATGGTTGTATAAACCGGAGTGTCCGCGTTGCTAGGAGTGATCGTTAAATGAGCGGCATGTCGAACGCTTGTCTGCGTTTCGCCGATACCTGTTACCTTAAGAGCGGTATTTAATTTTGGAAGTCTTAATGACTGCACTAAATTTTCGGTAATAAAAGATGACGCAGATCCTTGATCAATGAGCGCTCGGACCCATTGAAATCGACTGTGCATTGAATGCACGCGAACGCGAGCAGTTGCAAGGAGAATATGACGCGCTGTTACAGCTTTCGCAACGATATGCGAGGAAACGTCACTTGTCGAGACGACGGTATTCGATGACGCGGCAGACGGTGACGCTTGAACAGCTGGTTTCGGAGTGTCGAAAAAATGTAAAAGCGTGTGATGTTTTTTATGACATTCTTTACACGAGCGGGCACTCAGGCATTCTTTTGCTTGATGCTTCGAACTTAAACAATTAAGGCAACGCTTGCCATTACAAATGATTTTGTATCGCTAAGTCGGCGTTTTTCCGAGAAACGCGGTACATTGATACAACAGATGATTCGATTCGCACACGGGACACGAAAGTTTGGTAGCGCTCGTGGTATGCGAAGTGATAGCCCTTTGTTTTGATTTCGCATTTGATTTATCGCTCTGTTTTTCAAGTGTTGAAGCGATCGGTACAAGGGCGTCGAGAGCGCGGATACGAGAATCTAAGAACGCGTTAATTTCGTCAAACGTAGGATAGACGGTCGTTTTTCCTAATTTCAATTCCCACGCTTCGCGCGAGGATTTGTCGAGTCTTTGTGTGATGATATAAACAAAAATATCGCTCCAAGTTCGACCGGACGAGACAAATTCTTTAATGCGGCAATTGCGGCAGTTAATTTGCTCTGTAGAGCTCGAAGTTCGGTCGTCGATTTTGCTGTGACATTGGGCAATGTAAATAAGCGATGTATGTACGCATTGATCAACCGACGCTCGTTTTCGAAGTTGGACAAAAGAATCGTCCACGCTACCGGAAAGTTATCAGAAGTAACCGTTAAATGTTCGATTGCTATAAGCGCTTCACCTTTGAGACACGAAAATAAATGATGCAATTTTTGAACGTTAGATAGGCTTTTTTCTTTAATGATCATCAATTGAAAACGGTCGCGGAAGCTCTCCCACTTGTCGAACGATCCATCGAAGACCGGCAACGTGACCTTCGGTAGATTGAGTGTCGTATGAGACGGACATTCGTGCGAATGACTTACATTAGCTGCAGGATGAGCGGAGGATTTGAAAAGTTCATGAATAACTTCTGCGAAATAATCCAACGCTGACTCGTAGGCTTCTTTGCACTCGTCGAATTCGTGGTCTGAGGAGTAGGGGTGCGTGGTCTTCTCCTTAGCATCAGCGGCAGCGTGTAATTTGGCGTCTAATTTAGAGCACTGTTCGAACTTTTCTTTCAATGTCTCCATGCGATTTTTCGTCACTGCATAGGTCATCTTAGCTTGACCTAACTTTTTAAAATTGGATATAGCACGAATAACTGAGCTCATTTTTGTAGACTGCTCGTGCATCAATTCTTCGAAGGATTCTATATTACACAGGTTTTTTATGCACTACTACGCGATAATAGAACGAGTTCACTACTGAACGGGTAGCACCAACACCTTTGTTAACAGTCAAAAAGCAAAAACCTCAGTCCCGATCCGACTCGAAAGACCAGAAATGTTGCGGAATGCGCTGATTATATAATTTTAATCGGGAATAGAGGATTAGAGAGGATTGATTGTTAACAGCGGAGATATCATTTATAAACACTTTATTCGGCTTTTCACTGATAACTAAAATTCACATGTAACAATTAAGCACACTCAACGAACAATGGAAAATAAATTCAACGAGAACGTACGGACATCTTGCGCTTGATCGGACTTGCTGCGCGCGTACGCGGCGGAAATCTTGGGCAGAACTATGCTGTAGTTCCGAACGCGACGGAAATCTTCTCCCGACAATGTTAACGAAAGATCGCAGCGATCAAGAGCCGAACGCGGATGCGCGACGCATCGTTCGCGAGATCGAGGTCTTGGAGTTTCCGAAACGCTGTAATGTCGGAGCACGTGGTGACACGTGCGGTCGTAATTGCAGCCGAAATATGCGTGTAGTTCACAAAATTGAACGGAACTGACTGAAAATATCGCGGGTACAATATTATACAAATCTTGCCGATGTCCGGCAGAAAGGAATCACTTTCGTAGCTCGACGGATTATTTTAACAACGCGGAATACGAATTTTCAGTAACTAGATGACGTGTTAATACACCAAGAGCCGGAACAAGAAGAAGAACGGAAGAAGTAGAAGGATATTAGCGACTCAGATAGGCAGAAAACGGGGGTGCGCGACAGATCATAATCGATACACCGCGCACTCGAGTTGGCGAAAAAGGACCGCAAATGCGAATTACAATGAGGCGTGACAAGGATCGGCTACGCGCGATGCCTTGTTTGCTTGGAAATTTGTGATTTGCTAATGCGACGATTGATGGTTCTCAATATGTCCGATCGCGCGACATTCAACGTTTCGCGGAGACTCTCAAGCATATTCAACGGTTCCGGAACAGTAGTATATAAATTGAATTGCTATAATTGTACTGCATCGTATGTGGAACAAACAAAGAGACATGTCGCCACATGAATTAAGGAACACTGTAAAAATATTAATTTACATTATAGTTCGCATTCAGTTGTAAATAAGCACCAATGTGAATTTAATCATGATTTTGATTGAAAAAAATTTGACATTTTACATACGGAAAAACATTGACTATTTCTTGTATTTTCAATTGTTAGACTTTTATATAATTTATAGTTTAATAATTATCGACAGTATTACTAATATGAAGATTTAGCTTAATGACATATATTGTAAGTAACTTTAGTTTATTGTTTCAATTTTGGCATTTATTGAATTGCGTATGTTATTAATTATATATTTTATTTTTAGTGTTCACTTGAAAAGGATCACAACCACATGGTCAAAACGTAGTGATTTTAATAAACAAAATATTCGCTAGTTCTGGTCGATTATTTCTACTATCCTATTTTAATAACTAGTGACAAGGATTAATAATTTGGGAATTATTAAATGTAAATAGTGTAAATATGTATGGATGAGAGAGAAGAGGGAGATTGTAATAGATTTGGCGGTCCTATGAAAACGCAACCTCTAGGGGAGTCCGGAATAAATTCTAATCTAATCTTAACATTACTCTAATTCCCGAATTTCTATTATACATATACATCATTTTTATTTGTTGAATTTCTATTACGAACCTAATTTTATTTTGCCGAATTTGTATTATGCACATAATTTCAATGTTTTATTTTTTCATTATGTACATAATTTTAATTCTTGAATTTCTATTATGCACATAATTTTAATTCGCCGTATTTATATTATGTAAATAATTTTACCTAATAGAAATTCTGTCAATAAAATTATGTATATAATAGAAATTCGACGAATTAAAATTATACGAATTAAACAAAGTTAAGAATCTATATGCTCGCAAAATAAATAACAAAGTAAACATATATATATATATATATATATATATATATATGTTACTTTGTTATTTATTTCGCGAGCAATAGATTCTTAACTTGGTTTATAATTTTAATTCGTTGAATTTCTATTATGTACATAATTTTATTTGCCGAATTTCTATTAGGTAAAATTATTTACATAATATAAATACGGCGCGAATTAAAATTTATGTGCTAATCGAAATTCAAGAATTAAATTATATGTATATATATATATATATATATATATATTACATATAAACTTTGTTTATAATTTTAATTTGTCGAATTT